GGCTGCCATCCCGAGAACTCCTCGCCCCGGTGCCGCAGCCCTGAGCCCGTCCCTTCCTCCCGAAGCCGCAGCGCTGGCAGTGTCCCACATGGGCTGTCACTGCTGGGGGTGCACAGCTTCTACGGATAGAATGGACTAGGGATAGTCCTTGTGTATTTTATACTGGTATTGGGATCAATATTGGTTCTTTAGCGTTATTCACGTTAATTATTTTGTCTTATTCTATTAAATCTGTTTATATTTCAACCCTCAGTTTTCCCTTCTTTTCCCTGATTCCCCTTCCCAGGTGGGGAGGGGCCAATGGGTGAGAGAATAATTGTCTAAATGACAATACAGTGTTGTGGGTTTTCTCAAACCATTAACACCAGCAAAACCCTCTCAGGCTCTCCTGCCTCTGTGTCTCCTGTCACTTGTTCGGTACCAACCCCTTGCACCCGGGCGGTTTCATGCCTGTGAAGGGCTGTGCAGCAGAGGGCTTCGGGCCCCTGCTCCAGCCACAGGCAGCAATGACATTTCCCTTGTCACCATCTCCCTCCTAACACCTCCCAGGCCTGGCTGCCCTTCCCTGCCGCCGAGGGAGTGATGCAGCATTGAGGGGTCGAGCTCAGCCCACCCTGCTGCCCTGGGGCCCTGCGCCCCCAGGAATGACCAGGTCAGGCAGGACGCCGGGCCACGAGCGCCCCGGCCCCGCAGATCCCTGGCACAGGCTGCCCGAAGTGCAGACAAGGGGGCTCCTCCTCACATTGTCCTGCCCTGGCCAGGCGCGGCAGAGGGAGAAGCAGATGGCAGGGTTCAGCCTGCTGATGTTTCTTAAGAGCCGATGAGGAATTTCAGAGTACAACCTTTGCTCTGGGTGTTTATTACTTGCCCCTTCAGACAGCGGGAGAGGGCGTGCTGCAGCCTGCAGATGGCTCTAGGCTGGGTCTGCTTCTCTGGAGCTGGTGCCAAGGGCCCCGGCAGCTCAGGACCCGGCCACTGCTCAGCTGCTGAAGCACTTGACTGTCAGTTGCTCAGTGTTCCCATCTACAGCTCCTCATCTTCCTCCTCTGACCAGCTCAAGCTGTCACCAGAGTCCTCCCCCTGCACTGCCCCGGGCTCCTCCGCCTTGGCAGCTGCCTCTTTCTCCTGCTCGCCATGGGAGTGAGATCTGCTCTGGGGGAGTTCCAGCCTGGCCCAGGAGCCAGGGCTGGCTTTGCGAAGCATGATCTCCACTTTAGTAGGGACCATGCTCACAAAGCTCTTCTCTATTTCAATGACCTAGAGAGAAGGAAAGGTGCAGTGAGCTGGGCAGGGGAGGGCAGGCAGCATACACTCATCCTTGCCTTTACTGGCCGAGCGCTGCCAGCAGAGGAGAGAGAAGAGATTTCCTCTCCTCCGTCAGGAGACGGAGCAGGATGAAACCTGGGCTCCAGCTGAGGTCCATGGTGTTACATCTGCGCTGAGGCACGGGCATACCCACACCCGGCAGCACGCTCTGCTGCCCATGGGCGCAGGCAACATGCACTGGGAATAAAGGCAAGAAACGCACATGCACGTTCCCGAGTCTCAGTGCTCCTCCCCAGCCAGCAAGTGGCTGCAAAAGCAGAGAGCAAGTATCTCGGCAGGATTGCAGGGGGAAACAGGGACCTGCTGTGCCAAAGACCCTTTGGGGTAGTCTGGGACCAAACCCAGAACGCCTGCAGAGCCGGCAGTGACATCCAGCTCTGCTGTTAGCCCAGGATCAATCGGTGCCACCACCAGCAGCCTCCAAAACAGCCCCTCCTCACAACTCCTAAGGCATTTCCTAGCAGATGTGGCTATAAATGCCAACTCCTGGGCAACCTGTCTCCCAGGTGATTCCAACAGGAGCAAGCCAGCACTGTGGCAGTGTTTAAAGAGTAGCCAGGGTACCTCAGGTGGTGCAGAACAGTCAGAGGGGCACTAAGCCTAGGCACAGTCCTGGTGTGTCTCCCAGGCGGTGTTACCACTATGAGATCAATAGAGAAAAAACTATTTTCATCACTAGCCTTTGCTGCTATAGAAAACTGGAGCTCTGGAGATAAATGGGTACTCTCTGCTGTGACAGCTGTGGTGGACCTGTGTTCCCTGCAAGTCTTTGAGAGCTGGCAATGAATTGCACTGAGGGACAGACTATGAAATGGCTGTTTGTTCTACAGATGTGCTGGCTGGTGAAGAGACAGCGTCCTGGGGGCCACAGCATTTCTATCTAATTTCTTCTCTAATACAGCCAAAGTTGGCCTCATGCTCTGTGCATGGGCAGGACTGAGCAGAAATTACAGCAACAACCTTTTTACTGCTTTTTCAAAAGTCTCAGAATCCTGACTGTGCAGAGAGTAATTTTCCTTACCAGGACTCTGTGTTGGGGGCTGCAGACACTTCTCCCAGAGCACAGGCTGCCTTGCAGCACTGCAGCCCAGCCCCATGCAGATTATGGGAGTAGGGAAATGAAAGTAAACAGGATCTTACCCCCCAGAGATCCAGTTCTGCCTGGAAACTCTTATTCCCTTCAAAGATGATGTGAACCTCAAGCTGAAAGACCAACAGAAAATGACCTGAGTGGGTAGCACAGCACTGCCAGAGCTCTTCCCCTGGACAGTGTGGCTGCCTTCCAAGCATCGTAACGAATCCTGCATCCTGGCTCCAGTGTAATGCTTTGGTGATCCCCTCAGCACCTGAGAGCATTTCATCCCCTTCAGAGCATGCCTGGTTCACCTCTGCCACCAGTCGAGGGATTCAAGGCCAGCAAAGCCACCTGCTGAGGCTGGAAGCTGCCGGGAGTTCAGCTCAGGGATGGCAGATCGGCAGTGCCAACCCTGGCTGCAGCAACAGGCCAAACAGGCCATCAAAGAGTGCCAAGCACTGGGCTGGCTCCTGGCTGTTGGCTCACAAAAATCAGGTGCCACGAAAGCCCACATCCCCAGCCCAGCTCTGCTGGCCCCACTCACCATGGTGCGATTGGCTTTCACGCTGCTGAGGGTGGGCAGGGGATTCTTGGCGTAGACTGTCACCACCACCTGGCTGCTGGTTTGGTGCCAGTCCTGCCGGCACGACACCGCCTTCTTGTCCTGCCAAGGAGAAGGACCCATCACAGCACAGTGTCGAGCCCAAGCACACCCCAAACAGAGGGAATGTCCATGCTGGAGGATGCTCCTTTGCATGTCTCCTTCGCAGAGCACCAGCTGAGGCTGGCATCAGCTAAGCAAGATCAAACACTGCCTTTTGTGCAGGTTTTTGAGGGGAGGTGGTTCACGCAAAGGTGGGCAGCCTCTGCCAGGTTGTCCCATGCAACATGGGGCATCTGTGCTGTGCTTGGGGTTGCTCCAGATGGGCATGTTAAGACTAGAGATAGCCCCTTCTTGTTCCAGAGTCATTCTGCTGTATGCAAGCTCATAGGCGCTGCACACACTCAGGAAACTTGGTCTGGAGGGCAGTGCAGCAGGTGTTGCTGGACATGGATCATGCTACCACACTAAATTTGGGAGACAGATGAGCCCCAACAGGCCATGTTTCACCTTTCTCCTACAGAGCCTCTGCCTCGTCCATGCCACAGGCAGCTTTGGCCCCACCAGGCATTTCTGAGCATCACCAGCAGACAGACCCCCTGCAGACCCTCTCAGCATTGGCAGCCAAAGAAATGCCCCTGAAGGAATCCCAGCCCAAAACGCAGGTGAAAATTAGCACAAAGCATCTGCATCACAACATCAGAGTTCATTCACTGCAGCCTCCTTTACATCCACTATATGTTTTCTGCTCCAGGACAAAGAACTGCCCTCAGCACTGGTGAGGCCCCACCTCGAATATTGTGTTCAGTTTTGGGACCCTCATGACAAGACAGACATGGAGGTGCTGGAGCGTGTCCAGAGAAGGGCAACGGAGCTGGTGAGGGGTCTGGAGCACAAGACTCATGAGGAGCGGCTGAGGGAACTGGGGGTGTTCAGCCTGGAGAAAAGGAGGCTGAGGGGAGACCTTATCACTCTCCACAGCTCCCTGAAAGGAGGGGGTAGCGAGGGGGGGTCAGGCTCTTCTCCCAAGGAACAGGTGATGGGACAAGAAGAAATGGCGTCAGGTTGCACCAGGGGAGGTTTAAGATGGATATTAGGAAAAAATTCTTCACAGAAAGTGTTGTCCAGCACTGGAACAGGCTGCCCAGGGCAGTGGTGGGGTCAGAATCCCTGGAGGGATTTAAAAGATGGGCAGACATGGTGCTGAGGGACATGGGTTAGTGGTGGACTTGACAGTGCTGGGTTAATGGTTGGATTTGATGATCTTAAAAGTCTCTTCCAACTGTAACAATTCTATGATTCTATGATGCACTTTCAGAATAACCTGGGCTGCTTTGGTACAACTTTCCCAGCTTAAGCCTGTTTCCAGCCAAGAGCTTTCCTGGGGAAACCTACACACACTCATACAATATTGGGAACTGGGATCTTCTCCCCATTCCCCTCCACACCACCATGTTGGTAAGTAGATGAGGTCCCCCCTGGGAAGCGATTGCAGTAGGAAAGCTTCATTAAAACTGAATTCAGGCATCTGCAGTCATCTGTCAAAACTTTTGGGTTTTTTTTTGCAGGGCTTTTCCTTTGCTCAGCTGCCTGTCTCTGTGCGACAGCCTGCAGCACTGGCTATGCCGTGCCCAGGGCCAGCTCCTGCCTCATTCAGCTTCCTATTGCACACCTGCCCACTGGGTGTGAGACCTGACACGTTTTGTGAACGCAGGAGCAGCATTTTAAACAGCAGATGGGTGAAGATTTAGGTGAAGATTAGGCATTCCAACCCCGCACAGTCATCTGTCGGCAATTATGAAAATTAAGGGAATTAAATGCAGAAGCCCGTGTGAATGCAGAGCAAGGGAAGGAGCGCTCCTGGGGCACCAGTAATGGTACTTCGCTCATGTGTGTCACCTCCGCTGAAAGCTCCCTTACCCCCTTCCGCATCCAGCAGTGCCGCCCGTTGCTGCAGCCCGGCTGCTCCAGGAAGGTGCTGAAATCTGTTGTTTTGACTCCACAGCAGCTCCAGTACTTCATCCTGGGGAGAATGGGGTGACCTGAGTGGGGAGCACCCACAGGGACAGGAGAGGGGACCACAGCGAACTCCGGGGCAGTGGGGGAGAGGGGCTCAGAACCAGTAGCTCCCCCTGCCCACCTGTCACCCAGGGGGTGTCACCCACCACTGCACCAGTTGTGCTGCTGAAGCCACGCAACCTTGTGATGCAGCACTGTGAGCCCTCAGCAGAGTCTGTTTGGTCCCCAGTAAAGCATCGTTTCTTACCCCTCATGGAAGACAGGAACGCCAGGATGGAAACTACAAACATCTGTGTTGCTCCCTGCACCCTTGTAGACCTGTGGAGCAAGAAGCAGAAGGAAGTTTCAGCTGTGCAGCCAGGCGTCCACCCATCGGTGCCCATCCCTGCGTAAGGCACAGTGGGATGCCCAACATCATCCTTTCACTGGATCCAGCATCTGTGAGGCCTTACTCTGGGACTATGCCCAGCTGCCAGCCTGGCACCAATCCCTGGTCCCTGCCGGCAGGACAGCCACCCCGGCCTTGCCAGGACCCTGGTGTCACCCCTGCAACCCTGGCAGCAGCCCTTCCGTATGCCCCTCCCAAACACAGCCTGGTCAGCAGCACCAGCACAGTGGGCAAGTTTAGACACCCCAGAAATTCACTTTAAGGTGCAAAGGGCCGTTTGTCCATCCTGTCTCTTCCCCTGCTTCCCAGAGCGTGTCAGTCTGATGTCCTCATCTACCATCTTTTGCTCCCTGCTCCCTCATCCTCATCTTTTGCTCCCTGCTCGTTCCCTCTCTGCTGCTTTCCAAGTATACCAGCCCTCCCGCAGCGTGGTCGCTGTGGTGCACACCTCGAGGTGGGCAAACAGTCCTACACAGGGTGGCCTTGGGGCAAGGCAGACAGTGGGGTTGTGCTGCATTAATTAAATGCAGGGGGGAATTATTCCACCTGCATTTCATCTATGTGCACGTATCCTGAATATGTTATGTATTTCATTATAGGTAAATAGCAGCAGTGAAATGCAAACATGCTGCCGATCCAGGAATCTGGAAGACTCTTGCAGGAACATGGCTGGGAGGCAACCGAGTCAGCCTCTCCAGGCATGGGATGACCAGGAGCACATGGAGCCGATAGGCATTGCCACCTCCCACCCGCCCAGCACCCTGCCCAGCATCTGGCAGTAAGTGGGAGACGAGCCCCTGTGCCAGACCTGCAATGCTGCTGGCCACGCAGCACAGAGCATGCAAAGATGGGCTTCTGCCAGGTACTCACCGCCTTGCAGGATGTGTTCTTGCAGGCGGTGCCAGCTCTCACCTGGACAGCCGTCTCCTCTGCAAGAGCAATGCAGCTTCACCCCGGGGCATGCTCCTGCCCCCAAACCCTCCCTGCAGCCACCTCCCCAGCTAAGCACGCATGGCCTTGAGCATAGCCCACAGCAAGGTGCTGCCGAGATGCAGCGCTGGGGGTTTGCAGGTGGCAGAGCACGTGGCACCCACCATCCTGCGCTGAACCTGCGGTGCAGCACCCCACGCTGAACTCGCCACATGTAGCCCCGCTGCCATCCACTGGTGTGTCACTACCTGCACAACTGGCCTCAGGTGCCTCATCCTTGGAGGACAGGTTCAGTCTCTCCAGTGCCTGCTCCAGAGACCTGGATACTTTAATTGGCAGCAGTTGTCTTGGCTCATCAGAGCTGGGAAACAGCAACAGCAAAGGCCCAGTGGGTTGGGGTTTATTTTGCAATTTAAGTGCTGTTGCCTCTCCTGAGGAAGCAGCAAGGCAGGACACATGCAGAAGAAGCGGCACAGCAGGGTGACACTGCCAGCTGAGCCCGTCTCACCTTGGTCTTTCCCGCTGCATCTTCTCAGCTGATTTTGGTCCTTGGATGATGAGCTCCTCCACTGGTTTGGCCTTTGGCTTGTCCGAGGTCTCCTCTTCACTGAAAGGCTCAGGGAGCTTCTCCTTGCTGTGAAACCCCTTTGTGCATCCCTGAGCAGCAGAGGCAAGCCTGACACCTGCTTTGCCCTCCCTAGCCTGGCGGCTGCTCCCAAACCCTGCAAGTTTCCACGCTCTGGTGGCTCTGCGTCCTGCAGCGATGGGGTCAGACCCTGCACCAGACTGGGGTCTGTGGCCGCACGGATTGCCGGGGACAAGATGGCATGGCAGCCTCACCAGAGCCATGGCAGCCAGGTCTCAGCTCTGCTGCACCCCAGCCTGGCAGCTGAAGGGCAGCAAGGCTCTCCCCAACATCCCCGGGCCTCTGCTGCTGCCCTTCCTCCCCTAGGTTGCTCAGACTGGCGCTCGGAGCATTTTGTGTTCATCCCGCAGGATCCTGGTGGGGAATCACAGCCCCTTCCAACAGCCTTCTCCAGGACCAGCTCCCCCGGACTTTGGGAGCCTCACCCTTGCTTGCAGGCTTCTTGGAAGCAGACAGGAAATCCCCAACCGGCAGGGCAAAGGGGATGGCCTTGGCACAGGATGGGGACAGGGCAGGGGCAAGGAGGAGAGGATGGAGGAGCAGTGGGTGCATTTGGGCTGGTGGGTCACTCACCTTTATGGAGAGGAACTCAGAGAAGTCTGTCGTGCGTTTCTTGCAACAAGACCAGCCCTAGCACCAGGAGACAACAAACTGGTCAGGGGTGGGCCATCCCACCAGGCACAAGGTCCCTCACTGCGGTTGCAGCCCCGGCTCCTGCCCCACTCACCTTCAGGGCATCATGGAAGATGGGGACACCCGGGTGATACAGGCAGGAATCTGAAAAGGGAGAATCGGGCAGAACCTTTCAGGAGGATCAATCCTGCCCGTGAGCCACCCATGACACCTGGCAGCTCCTGAGCCAGCTCCAGCCATGCGGGCTGCCAGTGCTAGGCTTGGTTCAGCCTTGCCGGGGCCTTTGTGGCCGAGGCCACAGCCCAGGAAAGCAGCAGGCATTCCCACCCACCCCGGTGCAAGGCAGACGAGCCCACTTACCCTCGGTGTTTTGCTCCAGATCAAACCTCTGCCCGCAGCCCTTGTTGTAACACAGCAACGCCATAGCTCAGGCGTACTCGTGGCGTCCTTCACCCCTTCGGCAAAAATCCCATTAATCTCATCCCTGCCCGTGATCCCGCCTCTGCTTCCCCGCAATCTCCAGCCCAGGCGCAGGGAGGTGGCTTTGCCTATCTTTGGAGGCAGCCGGAGGAGGTGGCTGGTAACTGGAGAGCAGGCTAAAGATTGACATAGCGGCTCTGCAGCTGACGGGCCCCGGCACCCATGTTATCTCAAGAGGCATTTCTGTCCTGCCCCTGCACCCAGCAGAGGGAATGGGCGCTGCGGGGGGCGACTCTGTACCTGGCGTGGGCAGAGGACCTCCCAGCACCTGCCACCCTGCCAGCATCTGGCATGGAGGCATCAGTGCTAGCCTGGCACTCATGCTCTGCTTGGGGCATCCTGCGACTCCTCTTGACCAACTGCTCTCAGTTTCTTTAGTGTTTATAGAAGCAGCTGAAAGTTTCCTGCAAAAGAAGGGAAGAGAATTCCCAGCGTCCCAGGGCAAGACCCGTGCTGATCTCCCCCAGCTCCAAAAGCCACGACCATCTGCAAGATGGAGGCACCAGCAGACCAAAGCAGTGCGTGTGGCCGAGACATCCTTTGATGCAGGATCTTGTGGAACCCAGGGATGAGATCTGTCCCCTGGAAGATCATTGTTGTCACAGAAGAAGAGCACAAAATGTTACCTTGGGCCCGCTGTACCCAGGAGGGGTTTGCTTGGATTCCCTCCTCCCATGCTGGGACCCTTTGCTCTTGAGATCAAAGATTTTAGTCAGTTCCTACAAGCATCTAAAAAAAGTATTATTTTCTTTTTGTTGTTCCTGTTTGCAGAGACAGCTGTTTGCTGGGTGCTGCCCTTACCTGCCAGAGCACACAGCCCCTGGAGGGCTGTCAAGCCCAGGAATCGGGTTTGACATAAGCCATTGGCACTATCAGATGGCACAAAGGGCAGGTCCTGCAGGCAGCAGCTGTCCAGGGACTCCACTCAGGAGCGGCACCCACAGGGTCTGCCGTGGCTGACGTAACCCCATCACTGTCCCATGATGTTTATTTAACCTAGTTAATCCCCCCCCCAACAGCCTGCAGGATCTGCTGCTACCCCAAGGGGATCTCCAAAGTCCAGAGGTAGGATGAACCCTTGCTGAAATTCTGGAGCTCACCAGGCTGATGACTCCAGACTCATTTCCCACTGCCCTGCTGCTCCACCTCCAGCTCAGTTCTGCCATCCCCACCTTGAGACGCCCCAGCCAGCAGCAACCTCAGGCCTTTCCTTGTCATCTCATTAGCAAGGAAGGTGGCCCCACTGGAGGGGAGGACACATATCACCATCAGACCTCCTTACACCTGTATATAAACCCACTTCCAACACAAAAGCAAGGAGGGAAATGTGGAGGCACTGGGGAACTGTCACACCACCATGAGCCATGTGGCTTTAAGCTGATGCCTCCCTCAAAGGACTGCAGTGCCTCAAGACACAATAAATGACCCAATAGTCCCAAAGGTGGGTAAAAAACTGCCTCTGCTCAGGCAGGACAGATCGCTTGGGATCCGGGAAGCCACGCAGAGCCCTGCGACAGGGAAATTTGCAGTCCTGGGGGCTGGGCAGAGCTATAGGGTTTCAGATCCCCTTGTCCTTTCCACGAGCTGTCACAAGACTGCAGCTGTCACCGTCCCTGTGCCAGGGAGAATCTGGAGCTCGGGTTACCTCCCTGGCCTCGGAGAAAACGCCAAGGGGATGCTGTGGCTGACCCACAGGCCGAGGCTTGTCGCAGAGGGACCAGCAGGCAGCTGGGGGGGCTGTGGCCGGGCAGAGCCCCCTCGGCATCCCAAGAGCAGCAGCACCGCTCTGCCCTCGCCCCTCTGCTGCACCACTGCAGCCATCTGCAGGGAACAAGGTGGCTGGAAAGACAGAAGCTGCTGGGAACAGAGCACAGTGACATGCAGTACATTGGGGTGTCCGCAGCTCCTGGCCTAAGGAGAGGGTCCCCAGGGAGGACAAGGTGAGGGGGCACAGTGTGGGAGACAGACACGAGACATCCAGAAGAGATGAACTCCAGGGGAACCGCTGTCAGCCACCAGCAGACTCAAGGCCCTGCTAGAGCTGGTGCTTTAAAAATTAGGAAAGAAGAGGCGACGAGGTTCAGGTGAGGGCCTGCACATCCACCACACAGCAGCTAGTTTGAAGCTGTGTCTTCTGGCAGTTGCATTCAGGCCACAGGGCTGCATTGCTGGGTCCGGCCCTCCTCCAGGGCAGAGCTCCAAGTCAAGCAGAAGTCACCACACAAGCAGGGCCAGTTGTGGCCAACACCTCCGAAACAGCTTGCAAGGAATGGGCCGGCTGAGAATTAAAAATAAAACCTGTTTGATTTATGGGCACTGAATTTGATATATAACAGAACAAAAAGGAGGTGGAAAAATAGGACCAAATGGTTCTTAAACCCAATTTAATGTGTTTGCCCTTGAACAATCAGGGTCAGTGTAAAACAGCCACCAGAGTCCTGGGCAAAACATGCTGGATGCCTCCAGGGAGAGAAACACAGCTCACCCCTACCCTTCAACCATTTGGGATGCTCTGTGGAGCTGGGGTATCACAGGGATAGCAGAAGGGGAGTGCATTTCTAAAGCACTGGAGTAGTTCCTCTGTACAGAAGGCTGGTTAGGAGAAGAAAAATCCCTGACATACATATTATTGCTATGTATGCTGCACAAAGCTCGCAGGCAGGATTCACGTTTCAGTTATTTGGGAAATGAAATCTTTCCCATAAGAGTATGTGCTGAGCAATTTTCCAGCAGACATTCTGCCTGGCTGCTCTTCTTCTGACAGTGCTGCTGAGGGGTTATGTACCGGCTGTTGGCCAAGAGCTCTGCACTGATTGTACTCAACTGCTCAGAGAACAGGTCTGAAAAAGACCAGAAAACCAACAGAAATGGGGATGGGGGCAATCTGCCTCTCTCCATTCAAGAACACCACCACAGCTCAGGTTATTACAGGGCTATCACCCCAAAACTCTGCTCTCACCAAACAAACCTTCAAACTGGAGCCAGCTGCCCAGCTGATGAGGATTTTCTCCCTGCAGTTCAGGTGGTCTCTTGATCCCAGAGATAATTTTGTCTCCTCAGAGCTCAGCTGCTAAAGGAGCCCATTTACACCAGTGCTTGCTCTGAAAAGGCATCGAAAAGGGTACTTTGGGCCTCAACAGGGAATAGTCCAAAAAGAAAAGAATTCTGTCTACTCCTAAGACTGAGTTTTCTTGTCATTAGCTGGCATCCATAATGAAAAACTGCTGCCTGAAATAGCAGGGAGCATGGGGTTTACAGGTTTTCCTTTGGAGGCTCCTGTTGCCTTAAAGCATGGTCGCTATGGTCAAGTTACTCCAGGGGAGATTTAGGATGGACATTAGGAAAAATATCTTCACCAAAAGGGTTATCAAACATTGAAACAGGCTGCCCAGGTGTTAATGTTTGAGAAAACCCACAACACTGTATTGTCATTTAGACAATTATTCTCTCACCCATTGGCCCCTCCCCACCTGGGAAGGGGAATCAGGGAAAAGAAGGGAAAACTGAGGGTTGAAATATAAACAGATTTAATAGAATAAGACAAAATAATTAACGTGAATAACGCTAAAGAACCAATATTGATCCCAATACCAGTATAAAATACACAAGGACTATCCCTAGTCCATTCTATCCGTAGAAGCTGTGCACCCCCAGCAGTGACAGCCCATGTGGGACACTGCCAGCGCTGCGGCTTCGGGAGGAAGGGACGGGCGCAGGGCTCCGGCACCGGGGCGAGGAGTTCTCAGGATGGCAGCCGTCACGGGAGAGAGAGAACTCCTCAGCAAACTTTGTAATTTATAGTGAATGTGATGTTGACGGTACCCTGTTGGCCAGTTTGGCTCCAGTGCCCGGGTCTCGCTCCTCCTCATCCCTGCACCTGGTGAGCTTGAAAACACCGAGACCCTGAAACCCGCACACCATCGCTGGCTATGGAGTAAATATTTTCACAAACTGGAACACTGGAGTCTTCCACACGTGCAGTTTCCCCAAGCATTAGAAGAGAAATTAGTCTGGTGTCGCACAAACTGGTACACCAGGGCCGTGGTGGAGTCACTATCCCTGGAGGTATTTAACAGATGGGCAGACCTGGTGCTGAGGGACATGGGTTCGTGGTGGACTTGGCAGTGTTGGGTTGATGATTGGACTGGATGATCTTAAAGGTCCCTTCCAACCTAGATGATTCCATGATTCTACGAGCTCAGGCAGAGCAGAGTGACCAGGCTGAAGTGAGGGAAAGCGGCCTGAAGGCAGTGTTGTGGCCTGGCTGAGCTCCCGGCTTTCTCCCTCTCCTTTTGGCTACCTCTGGCACTTGGGTGACTCACCAGGGAGACAAGCAGGTACCTGAGCCATGACCCAGGCAGAAGAGGGAATGACAGCATCTTTCAACAAGGCCTCAGGAAATCACGTCTTCCTTCTTTCAGCTCCCACAGGTAGCTCACTGGAAAAGTAGTTTAGCATATTCCACCATTTGTAGCTTTCTATGATAAATGACAGCTTCTAGTGAGATGCACTGTGCCAAAAAAAAAAGGGAAACGTTTATCTACTGCTTTGATGTGACAAAATTATCCAGGTACCCGTTGGTTTTTTCAGGTTTATCTTTGATTCTTGCAAATGCAGTCACCGTTGTTTAAGGGGAACCTGCATAAAGCACAGGTTGTAGCTTCCAAATCCCATAAATGACCAGGGTTTAAAGCTAAGAGCAAAGTAACACGGACCAGACTGCTCATCAGTCCTTGGCCTGGTATGAACTGATACCATGTAAGTGCATTTTGAACAAGCTGATCAGATATGACAGCAAAAGGCAAGGGTGTCTCTTCATGACAGTCAAAATACTTCGTCAGTCTGCAACTACAAAACAGGCAGCGATCTGGGAGAGCGTGCAGAGGAAAGCATTCCCTTCCGTGCACTGCCTGTATCTCAGCAAATTGCAACGGTGCTTGCGCAGGGTCCAGCCTCCGGAGTTGCACTCACAACCTTATCCACACTGTGTCAGCACTGACAGCAGCACCCAAAGGGCTTCAGACTGTGGCCTCTAGAACTG